ATTAAAAGCCAGGTGTGTGGAGCGGATTATTACTTTGCAAAAATTCCAGTATTTTCCAAAGCTCCGGGGAGACTCGGAGTGCATTCAGGGTGGGGCAGGTGTCCTGAGCCATTTTCAGCCAGGGTCTGTACAAGATGGTGATGCTGAAGCAAACTAGGGTGTGGGGAGTAATGGGAAAAGCCAGGGGTCACCAAGGTAAATGCTGTAGGAGAACTAAAGGGGCAGGGGTGAGAAAAATTATAAATGAGGACTGACTCTCAGGTCTGCATTAGGGCGGGGGGGTGGCTGGGAATGGGGAGGAGATGTGCCATCTGAGAGGTGGGGCTACTCACGTCCTGCTGGTGGTTGTCGCCATGGGAATTAAAAACCCACTGTTGCCCTAGCTTGCATTTTTTTTTTCTATAGATGCTGGAATGTTTCAGCTCTGCGTGTCGACAATTTACAAAAAAGAAGTCCGAGCAGCCAATTTGCTATCTCTGGCTTCAGTTCTCTAAGAATGGGGACCAAATTCCTGAGCGCAGTGGTGACAGGGAATTAATTTTGAGGATGGCAGAAGTGGGTGTCAGAATGTGTCAGGCTGTAGGCAAGGAAATCAAGTTAATGATTCTGGGTGATTTATTTGACTTGGACAAACGGATAGCAGCTTGAAGAATCAAAATATCTTCAAGACAGTGGTTAATAACATGTATAAAACCTAAAAGAAAAAAAGTTATGAACTTGTAATTTAGGACTAAGCAAAGCATTCGTTTAATTGCACAAACCGTCTTGAGCAACTGTTCTGTGCGAGGCACTGTCACAGACAGACGCTAAGAATACAGAAAGGGTTAAGACCTGACCCCCTACCCTCAATATGCGCATCAGTGAAAGGCGAGGAGGCCGAATTCGTAAATAAATGGCAGTCACAACGGTGCAATAACCACCGTGTTCAAGGTACAAGCAAGGAAGGGCGGAGAAGGCTTCACTGAGGAAGTGATGTCTGGGCTGAATTTTGAAGAGCCAGTTACATTTTTTCAGGTGGAAGCAGGTGAAGAATATTCCAGACACAGGGAACAACATGTGTAGCCACATAGCATTAGAACAGTGAGTGGTTCAGTACTACTAAGAGATTGGAAAATATGAGGAAGGAAAGTCCAGAGATGGGGTAGTAAGGGCTGGGAGGTGCCAGGTTAGGAAGGGCCTCCTAATGTCTGGAGGACGGGTAGTGCTGGTGCAAATAGGCTTGAGGTATTTTTTTAAACGTGGGGTAATGATTTCATACATGAGAGTCACCAACTTACAGAAGGGCTGTGTTTTAAGCGTTGGAACTGAGACATCATTGACGTCATGTTGACATTCCTTGGCTTGCCAACCAAAATCTGTTGAAGGGGGTTTTAGGCTGGAATGTAGGACCCTAACCAAGTAATTTCTCAGGCCTTCAGATTTTTTCATCGATAAAATTCAAGGCTTTGCTGTTGATCAACTCTATCACTTCATATTATGACCTACTCACATACTGAACATTTCTACGGGAAAAAAATGTATACACTAATTCTGGAATCCAGTAACTTCTTTTCCCACCAAACCACAAGTAGGAAGGAATTGTTTCTGCCTTTCTCCCAGAGCAGTTCTCATTAAGACTGGAGAAGCAGGTTGTAAGCATTTGTATTTTCCAATGACTCATAAGTTGGGCTGACTACACTTTGACAGGTTAAAAGGAAAATTCTCAATGTATCTACGTATCCTGTCTGCCTGTCTGTCTGTCTCTCTCTATATGTACACGCACTGATGTGGTTTACACTGTATGGGGCTGGCCAAAAAGTTCGTTCGGGTTTTGATGTTATGGAAAAACCCAAACAAAACTTTTGGCCAACCCAATAGGTTAGGTTTTCAGAGTTATAAGTTACTCTAATGTTAATACAATTTTTACTTTTAAACTTAGTTTATGCAATATTTAAGACGTGCAAAAAGGCCTAATGAATAATAAAGTATGTTATCGGGTTCCTGCCATACAGCTGATGAAGTCGCACGTTGATTACGCAACTGAAACTCCCTGTCACCCTCCTCCAGCTGTGTGCCCTCGCTTCCACGCCTCCTGAAAGCAACCACTGTCCCGAGCGTGGTGTTTAGAATTACCTTTCTTTATATTCCACTACAGTTGTACATGCCCTTATATACAATTCTTTTAACTTTTTAGTTTGATATAATTTCAAACTTACAGGAAAGTTCTAACAGTAGGACAAAACACTCCCACAGACCCTTTACCAGATTCACCATTTATATTTATTTTGTCATAGTATATCACCTACATTTACTCTATTAGAATATATAGTATTGTTTTGCATATTTTACAGAAGATATCAGTGGCAGGCAGCACCTATTCTTTTCAGTCTTTTTCACACATTGATGTTTGTGAAATTCATCCATGTCGATATATGTAGCTCTAGTTCATTCCTTTTTTTTTCTTTTTTTTTCCCTGTACAATATTCTCTTGAGTGAATATGCTACAGTCTATCTGTTCTCCTGTTAATGAATATTTAGGTTATTTCCAAATTTTTACTATTTCAAACAGTGCTGCTATGAATTTAAACTAGTTTTAACTTCAGCAAAACATGGAGTCATGGTCATGTATCAATCATTATTTAGAAAAAGTAGCAACTTTAAAGATAATATAAAGATTATAAAATTAAACACTGTAAAAGCAAAACACTGGTAGTTTAAGTAAACTAACATTTTTATGCCACTTTAAATTTTATTTTATTTTTTAAATAAATTTATTTAGTTAGTTATTGGCTGTGTTGGGGCTTCGTTGCTGTGCTCGGGCTTTCTCTAGTTGTGGCGAGCAGGGGCTACTCTTTGTTGTGGTGAGCGGGCTTCTCATTGCGGTGGCTTCTCTTGTTGCGGAGCACAAGCTCTAGGCACATGGGCTCAGCAGTTGTGACTTGTGGGCTCTAGAGTGCAGCCTCAGTAGTTGTGGCGCACGGGCTTAGTTGCTCTGAGGCATGTGGGATCTTCCTGGACCAGGGCTCGAACCCATGTCCCCTGCGTTGGCAGGCGGATTCTTAACCACTGCGCCACCAGGGAAGCCCCACATTAAAATTTATAGGAATCCATTTCTTAACACTAAGTATACTGGACATGGGTAAAACTGCATTTTGGATTTGCAAAGTAATTAGGCTTTATTCTTGTGATTTATATTTATTTTTGCTACTCATTTTTTCTCCATTATTATGGGTACTATTAATATGACTGCACAATTCAGTCTTCTATAAATTGGAGCAGAGAATAACTTCCCATTGGTATCACTGAGAACATTTATACAGTTTTATTTTGCTGATGAAAGGAGAATGCCCTCTGGGCCCTCATTACAAGAAAAAGTTGCTGTCAGCTCTCTTTCATTTGTGAGCTGTGTCTGTACCCACAAGCAGTTTGTATATGAACCCAAACATTTTTATTGTTCAAAAAATGTTTGTACAGGTGTATCCAGTTTCAGCTTTACTAAGCAAATTACATGTTATACGTGCATGGCCTTATTTAATTCTCCCAGCTATTCTTATATAAGTCTCAAAACTAATTCCAAGCAAGGAATCAAAAAGAGGCTAAGAAACTTGCTCACGTTGTAAATGGCAGAGCGAGGTATCAGAACCCAGGTCTCAGGAACCCAAGTCAAAGCCCACGTTCCGAACCTCTGAGGTACTCTCTGCTACCCCACTGTGAGCACTTGGATACAAAAGACTGATCCAACTACTTTATTTATATACAGTAACCCCAATTTACACGTGCAGAAAGCAAGGTTCAGTAAGGTTACACAATTTTATGGGACTTCCCTGGTGGTGCAGTGGTTAAGAATCCGCCTGCCAGTGCAGGGGACACAGGTTCAAGCCCTGGTCCGGGAAGATCCCACATGCCGCGGAGCAACTAAGCCTGTGCACCACAACTACTGAGCCTGAGCTCTACAGCCCACAAGCTACAACTACTGAGCCTGTCCTCCAGAGCCCACGAGCCACAACTACTGAGCCCACGTGCTGCAACTACTGAAGACCGGCCACCTAGAGCCCATGCTTTGCAACAAGAGAAGCCACCACAATGAGAAGCTCACACAACACAACAAAGAGTAGCCCCCGTTCACCGCAACTAGAGAGAGCTCGCGCACGGCAACAAAGGCCCAACGCAGCCAACAAATAAAAAAATAATAATAATAAATAAATTTAAAAAGAAACGTTACATAATCTTGGGATGACAGAAAGCAGTGGCTAAACTGAGATTCAGGCCCAGGACCGTCTCACCTCAAAGCCCCATCCGCAATGCCAGCATCTTCCGTGTACCTTATGTATACAAGGAACAATGCTGAGAATGCTTGCTGAAGCATGGTGGCTAATTTAACTGACAGGTATCTCTCAGGATTTACACCAGTAAATTCATTTGGTCTGTAAATCCACAGCAATTAGAGTAGCTTTCAAGAGTTTTATAAAAGGCAATTAGAAGGAAGGGACACTTAAATATATGTGCCCATCTAAAAAATTCATAAATGTTTCTTCTGAATGTTCGAAACAGTTATTTCCTTTTTAAAAGTATTTTTTGTTGCTGAAGCCAGCGTTTGGGGCAGAGAAACTATACCCAAGTAAAGTATTTATTCAAGAAATTGATTTATCTTTGGGAATCTTGGGGACACCAGATGATCCTTTTAAAATAGGAATTTGACTGTTCCCCTTCTCAAAACTCTTCATCTGGAGTTAAGCAGAGAATTGGAGATTAGGCACCAGACATAATCTAGAAAGTGGATTTATTTATGACAGTGGCACACGAGTTGTTGCCCCGTTGCCTGTTTTATATCACCCATGAGCAAGAGTGAATTTTATCATTTTAAATGGCTTTTTAAAATCAGAAGGTGTGAAAGTGTATGGATTCAAGTCTCAGTATCCGTAAAACAAATTTTTTGGCACAGAGTGATGCTCATTTGTTTATGTATCATGTATGGCTGCTTCTGCATGGCAACGGCAGAGCTGAATTGTGAAGGCAGGAACCCTACAAAGCCTGAGATATTTTCTCTCTGGCCCTACTTTGGTGCTTGCTCTAGAGGGAGTGATTAAGAGTGCAGACTTTGGAGTCAGATGGAACTGGGCTCAAAACTCAGTTCGTGTGCTTGTAAAATGGTGTAGCCATTTAATGAGAAGAGGTAAACTCAGAAGAGCTGACTTAGGTAATTTTGCCTTCTATCAAGGAGAAACGAGCACAATTAGAAGTTTCTACAGTTCTTTTACTTGACAGTGTGATAACAGAGAATACAAGAATGCGCCTAAAGTGAAACTTTATACAATATCTAACTGCAGTTACCGTAAGCAACCTTGTCTCAGTATTTTTGCACATGCCACTTACACTAGTGAGGACTCCTGAGTGCCAGGACCAGCACTCCCAACACAAACTGGCTTAAACAATGAAGGGGATGGTCTCTCTCAAAACTGAAAAACACAGATATAAGGCATGTTTCAAGCTCCACTGCTCTGAAATCTCTGCCTTCTTTCCTGTACCGGCTTTGTCCTCATGCTGGCTACGGGGACACGGCTGTAGCGGATCCAGACCTCTCATCTTTGTAACACGTGGACACCCCCAACCAGTGAACCAGAGACTGAGCTTCACTCCAATCGGGCCAATCTCAGGTCTCCCACCAGCCCCTGAACCAGTCTCAGTGGTAAGAAGAACGGGAGTCAGTCCCACCCCAGTGGCACCAAGGAAAGGCAGGCTGAATGTGGGGAGAAAGCCAACATTGTCCACTATAGACTTGTGTATAAGATATTACCTATAACGTTTATCGAGAAAACCAGTCCATAACGTACTAGGTATTTCATTTTTAATCTCTCTTTGAAACTAATGCCACTTACGTTTTCATTAAACTAGCCCTATGCCAAAAAGTTCAACGAGGGTAGCTTGGTTCCTGCCTTAAAGATACAAAACCCTAGGTTGTGGTCCTAATATTTGGGCCTCCGGCATCCGGTTTCTTTCCAGCAAAAGCAAGAACTAATGAGTCTGAACTATCTGCATTGTGTTAGATCACGTGATCCAACCTGGACGCTGCCCTTGGCCTTCTAGCATTGTGGGTACTGGCACCCTTTGAGGGCTTCTTGTATATCAGTACAAATGGAATAGAAATTTTAAAATATTTATTGCCTTATAAGAAAGCTTTTACCGTTTTTTAGTTTGAAGTAACAGCTGTCATCTATAAAGTTGATTGATGTGTTTGTGTAAAGAAGCCTACATAATATGATTTGGGCTAGTCAAAATGTGTTGTAGGAGAATTTAGAAATATAATCACCTCTTAATTACCCATAATTGGATTCTCTTTGTAAAAATCTAAAACAAGTAAAGCGAAAAAGCAAACGTTCACTTTTAACCTGCAAACCCTTGCATAGAAAGTCTTAGGTTCTTATTGAAATAAAACTGAGCCATTAACGCCAGAAAATCCGGCGAGGAGGCTTTTATTTCTAGTTCAAGTATACGGATTCCAAGACTGGCTACTTGTTATGATTCCACACCCTGCAGCACAGCGATTTTTAGGTCTTACAGTTGCCATTATATAATTAAACATTCCTATCATACTTAACATTTGTTTCCTGAAATGAACTTTAATTCAACACTGGAAAAGTGCCAAGTCTCATTGAGACATATGAGATTTCTAACCCTTTACAGGATCACAGAAATTGAGAAGATTTATAAGCTTCACGGCTGACAGATTTTGCTTTCACAGTGTTGAAATTATCACCTCCCTGCCTTTCCGAGCTCCTCGTGCTGACTTTTCTACCATCGAGGTTTATTCTAGCTGCGTGGGACTTACAGCCGCATTAGACCTGGACAGGGTGACAGAGATTGAGATCTGCTCCTCCCGTTAAGGCTTCTGGCTCTAGGAGTGTTCTTTAAATCAAAAGAGCTAATTAGCTTCCTTGAAACATCCTGTTTGCAGTTCCCTGGGGAAGGGGAAGCTGAGACAACCAGCTTAAAGAGATTTTTAATTAGACTAGTGCTTTTCCAGGCAAGAAGTGATTCCACCTCTGCCTCTGTGAGACAGGGAAGAGAGAGAAGCCAAGCAGGAGGGGCAGAGAAACGGGAGGACTTTTGTGTGTTTTCTAAGATTAGGATGATTTACTTGTAAGTTTCAAGTATTGTGAATTCTCACATCAGCACGTATTTGGTTGCGCTTTCCAAAGCACTGTTTTGAATTATTTGCCACATAGCAAAGTTTGAGCAGAATTTCAGTGGACTTTTTTTTCAGCCAGCCTACAAGACCCCCTCCCTTGTGATTTTTCAGACTGGTGCTGATAGCACTTGGGTGCATTTTGGGGGACGGTGCACATAACCTTTTCGGTGATGTTGCACCTCCTCAGAGAGGATGCTTCCTAATGCCTCTGTATCCTCCATCTGTGGGTCAGCTGAATTTGGTAACTGGAAGGGGAAATGCGAAAGGTGCTCATCTTATCCCTTTTCTCTTCGTTCACCTTGGGAGGGAGGACTTTCCAGCCTCCGCTAGAAAAATCTCTGCCGCCAATTAGGAAAATACTGTTAGTGGTTAATAATTTCCTGTTTTTAATTTTACAATCAACGACGCTATTTTTAGATACCAAAGTAGTTGTCTTAATGTTAAACTACTCTGCTTGGAATGAATAATATTTACTTATAAATACTTCTTAGAACTAATGCTGCATATTTAAATTACAGAAAATTTTTGTTTTAGAAGAAAACTCCCTCTTTTCTTTCCTTCAGGAATGTTACATGACATCTCTGTTGCTTGCTGAGTAATCAGACATGTAAACAGGACCTCAAGAATCAAGCTACATTTAAAGAAGACTTACTTAGAAACACTGGAGAGCACACCATGGAGTGCAAGACTGAGGGAAAAGAAAAATACCAACACAGCTTGAATTTACTGAATAAAATTAAGAACATGAAAGAACTAGCAGAGATGATTGATGTTGTACTCATCGCAGAAGGGGAGAAATTCCCTTGCCACAGGCTGGTCCTGGCTGCATTTAGTCCTTATTTCAAAGCGATGTTTACCTGTGGACTACTTGAGTGTACTCAGAGGGAAGTCGTACTTTATGACATCACAGCAGAAAGTGTGTCGGTGATATTAAACTATATGTACCATGCAGCTTTGGAGATCAGTAATGCCAATGTACAGACTGTGGCTATGGCCGCCTATTTTATGCAGATGGAGGAAGTCTTCAGTGTGTGTCAGAAGTATATGATGGACCATATGGATGCCTCGAACTGTTTGGGTATCTATCATTTTGCAAAGCAGATTGGAGCTGAGGATTTAGCTGATCAATCGAAGAAGTATTTATATCAGCACTTTGCTGAGGTGAGCTTACATGAAGAGATACTAGAAATTGAAGTGCACCAATTTCTGACGCTTATTAAATCAGATGACCTGAACATATCCAGAGAGGAGAGCATTCTGGACCTAGTTCTGAGATGGGTAAATCATAACCGAGAACTGCGCACAGAGCATCTTGTGGAACTTCTGAAGCAAGTTAGGTTGCAACTGGTAAATCCTTCTTTTTTAAGACAAGCCCTGAAAAGGAACACAATGCTTCTGTGTGATGCAAATTGCATTGACATCATTCAAAACGCATTCAAAGCCATCAAGACCCCTCAACAGCACTCTCTCAATCTCCGTTATGGCATGGAGACTACCAGTCTTTTGCTGTGCATTGGCACCAATTCTTCAGGAATCAGGTCGAGACACAGGAACTACGGAGATGCCAGTTTTTGCTATGATCCTGCATTGCGCAAGACCTATTTCATCTCCTCTCCCAAGTATGGGGAGGGTTTAGGCACTGTGTGTACTGGTGTTGTCATGGAAAACAACACTATCATTGTGGCTGGAGAAGCAAGTGCCTCTAAACTCTCCAGACAAAAGAGCAAGAATGTTGAAATCTACAGGTTTGTATCTAGCCATATACTTGTAACTTTGTTTCAATTATCTTGCTTTGACATTAGCAGCCGAAGTACTTCTGAGTGATCACATCTTAAATTACGTGTGGTCAGAATTACCCTGTAATCACGTATTTTACATAGATGTAAAATTCATAATGAAATCATCCACATTTTAAAATTATTTTTCTCTCCCTTTCATTATTAAGAACATATAGTTGAATTTGCATAAGTTAAATGTATATACTTTATGATTCCTTTGTATATTTTCACTCTTAGCTTTCACTATTCATATGCTATAATTGCTTTGTTTTTGAAGAGCTGAATATAACTTTTAACAAGAAGAAAAGTTTATTAACACTGACGCCTTTGAACTGACTTTTATTAGTTCACACTTCAGAGTAATAATTTTTCTTCTTGACCAAAAAAGTACTATTTATCTGTCAGTTTTCATTCTGTACTTTTTTTAAAAAATTTATTTACTTTTGGCTGTGTTGGGTCTTCATTGCTGCACGCAGGCTTTCTCTACTCGTGGCGAGCGGGGGGCTCTTCATTGCGGTGTGTGGGCTTCTCATTGCGGTGGCTTCTCTTTGTTGCAGAGCATTGGCTCTAGGCATGCAGGCTTCAGTAGTTGTAGCACGTGGGCTCAGCAGCTGTGGCTCGCAGGCTCTAGAGTGCAGGCTCAGTAGTTGTGGCGCTCGGGCTTAGTTGCTCCACAGCATGTGAGATCTTCCCGGACCAAGGCTTGAACCCGTGTCCCCTGCATTGACAGGCAGGTTCTTAACCACCGCGCCACCAGGGAAGTCCTTCATTCTGTACCCTTAATGAGTGGGTCTTTACTAAACCTCTAATAGTGTAAAATGTTTGTAGCCTAAGAATTCTTCAACCCTAGAACTGTAAGAGGAACAGGAGTACCTGCTAAGAAGTAGTGTATGTCTAGGTGTTGTGTGTGAGGACAGAAAGATTTGTTTCCTGTTACTCAGCAAGAATTCAACCCTTAAATCTACCTGGGTGAATAAGAATTGTACATGTAGGTCCTTGAGCTCTCCTTGCACTCCCTCCCCTCTCTGGGCCCTCGTAGCACGGTTTCTCAGACTTTTCAGTCGGTAAGTGATTCTCGACAGCAAAGTGGGGACAGAGAAGGAATGAGAGGTCTGCTATTTTCCTGTCATCTCTCCTCACTGCGGTACCTGCTTCAGGCTCTCGGCCCGTCCCGCTGTCACCTTCACACGTTGAGGAAGTGTCCCTTCTTCCCAGCAGTGGGGGCGTGAACACAAGCGCTGGATAGTGACTGGCCCTCTGCCTGTGGTGACAGAGCTGTCACTGAGCAGCAACAGGTACAGGCCCTCAGGTGCTTGTGGGAAAGGGGGCATGGTTCTCCTGGGACGGATCCTCTGGGTCCCTGACATTTGTTTCCTACTTGCTCTTGGCTGGGTGCCCTTCTTTTCACCTTAGAGCCTCCTGTACAAGAACCTCAGGTTCTTTAGATACCTATTTTCTTCCTCTTAAAGGTAGTGCAGGGCTTCCCTGGTGGCGCAGTGGTTAAGAATACACCTGCCAATGCAGAGCACATGGGTTTGAGCCCTGGTCCGGGAAGATCCCACATGCCACGGAGCAACTAAGCCTGTGCACCACAACTACTGAGCCTGAGCTCTAGAGCCCGCAAGCCACAACTACTGAAGCCCGCGCGCCTAGAGTTCGTGCTCTGCAGCAAGGGAAGCCGCCGCAATGAGAAGCCCACGCACCGCCATGAAGAGTAGCCCCCGCTTGCCGCAACTAGAGAAAGCCCGTGTGCAGCAATGAAGACCCAATGCAGCCAAAAATAAAATTAATAAATAAACTTTAAAAAATAAAATAAAGGTAGTCCACAATTCTGCCATCAGAGTTAATTGTTAACAAACGTCCAACCCTCTCAAAGTGTGTGTTTTCATCCTTGAAAGTCTTTCCTCTTAACTGTTTTTGAATGCCTGCTTCCCTTTTTATGCGTGTGTCTAACTACACACCCCGCGTTTCCTTTCCTCCCTGTCTTGAACGCACGCCAGTTCCCATCACCAACAGCTCTTCCACGTTGGTCAGAATTAGGGTAAAACTATCAGTTGAGCTTCTCACTTCTCGCAATAGTGAAACTGTCAGCAAGGCAAATAGATTATCAGAAGCCCTGCCTGAGGCTTACGCGAGACTCCAGTGCTGTCTGCATAGTTAAGGTCTGACAGTACCACCCGAGGTCACTGTCTTTGGTCCACTCCTGCCACATCATCTCTGCTCCTTACCCCAATTACCTTTGCCAAGACGCTTTTCAGCGTGCCTCTACTCTGTAGTTTACACATTTCCATGCAGATATATTTCTTTTTGACTTAAAAGAGGAAGTAGATTAGCATTATAGCAGGTTGTTTCTTTTTTAAAAAAATACACCTTTCCACCTCTGTTAACTCTCTCTCGTACTTTGGTAGACAAACAGCTGAGGATGTAAGTGTTGTCTTTAAACTGTCAACCTCTGTGAACACTGAATGCTTTTGCCACTATTATTTTCTTCTTTATGTCATATCGAAATAATAAGTTTTATAGTTTCATCTGGGCATTTTCTCTCCCCATTTTTAATTCAAAATGTTAACACAAAAATCCAATTAGCAAGTTGTCCAGCAAACATGTACTTCCCATCCTTCGTGGGATTTATTTTGTTCTTGGCCTATTTTCTTAAACCGTGCCTCAGAAAACCAAAACCCAATTTTTAGTTCTATTTATATATTCATTGTCTTTGCTCTAGTAGCCCCCACCTGTAGACACCTAATTCTCCCTTCCCCTCTAAAATCCAGAACAATTAAAAATAGTGGTGAAAATATCACCTGTGCTGCTAGGGACTTTGGTTTCCTACCTAGAATTACATAGAAGACAGCTATGATGAGGTTTGATAAATGTGTGCATTCAGTCTGTGACAAGGCAGACATGCCTGCAGGAAAAAAGCACCATCTTCCAACTTCCCTGTCCAGCCTGAAGGAAAACGGTGTCTCTGGGGAAGAACGTAACAGTCGGCCTAGAACAATGGGGAAAACTTCTGTAATAGATTAACTGTCACATGTTTGATGCAAAATTTGTTTCCAAACAACAAATTTTTTTTCTTATTTTCCATATTTATTCTGGTTTTTGTTTTTAGTTTTGAATTCCAATTATACTTTCTGGATTTTCTAGGACAGAAATAATTTCACATATTTTATCCCACTGTCCCCATGGGTACTTTTGTCCTCCTTAGACTATGTGTCTCGATCATGATTCGAGAAAATAGACTTGCCATTGTCAAGAGGCAAGACAGAAGATGGGCACAGACTCATCCACTTGGTGACCATGTAATGCTACACACACACACACACACACACACACACACACACGCACACACTCAGATAATTACTTAATGTGTTGGACTCTAGGAGGTGTTGAGAGACCACATCACCTAGTGTCCCTGCTCTTCTCCCCAAGACTCTTCTCAGACCAACATAATTATTCGTGGTAGAAATTACTGAAATTACCATACCTAGTAGATTAACACAGTTGAGAAATGCCCAGCAGACACCTACAGGTGGGTTTTTATACAGTAGCATGCTCTTGACTCTGTTCTAAGCCAGTTAGAACCACAAGAACAATCCTTAAAATTCTATATATCCTGCATCATCCCATTAGAAATCTGAATTTAAATATTTCCAGATTTTCTGCTCTAAACGCATTTCTTTAATGTAGTATTAAAATGAAACTTCTAGTCAACAGAATAAGACATTTTTATGTTTATTTTTACATATTCTCTTTTAGCAAATGATTTGCTGAAAGACTTTGCTATTTTTAGTAATTTATTTATTTTATTTTGGCTGTGTTGAGTCTTCGTTTCTGTGAGACAGCTTTCTCTAGCTGTGGCAAGCGGGGGCCACTCCCCATCGCGGTGCGTGGGCCTCTCACCATCGCGGCCTCTCGTTGCAGAGCACAGGCTCCGGACGCGCAGGCTCAGCAGCTGTGGCTCACGGGCTCAGTTGCTCCGCAGCATGTGGGATCCTCCCAGACCAGGGCTCGAACCCGTGTCCCCTGCATTAGCAGGCAGACTCTCAACCACTGCGCCACCAGGGAAGCCCAAGACTTTCCTATTTTTAATTTTCTTTCCCAGAATTAGGAAATGAAGGCTAGTCCCTGGATAATCTATACTTTTTCAATATATTGTTTTTTTCTAAAATTCTCTAGGTGGGTGTGGTTGACTGTTTCTGTGTACATTATATTTTTGTTCAACATTTCTTTTCCCCAAAAAACACAAACCTGTATCACTATCTTAATGGTTTTTTCTTCTCCAATTAGAAGAACCAAATCATATCGTTTTTCGTTGGAAAAGAAACAAGTGTGTTTTTTTGGCAAGTTGTTTTTATATTAAATCTAATTCTGGGTTCTCTCTCTGTTAACTTACAGGTATCATGATAGAGGAAACCAGTTTTGGGAAAAGTTATGCACAACAGAATTTCGAGAGCTCTACGCTCTGGGCACCATCCATAACGACCTCTATGTTATAGGAGGACAGATGAAAATTAAAAACCAGTATCTTATTACAAACTGTGTTGATAAGTACTCTGTAGAAAGGGACACTTGGAAAAGGGTGTCCCCCCTTCCACTACAGTTGGCGTGTCATGCTGTAGTAACAGTGAATAATAAACTTTACGTGATTGGAGGCTGGACCCCTCAGGTTAAGAAATTTCCTGTGTACCTAACTGGCATGGCTGTGCTGAGTCTGGCCGCTCTGTTGAAAAATGTTGTAGTTGTTGAATACTAAAAGAGTATGACTCACATTTCGGTAAAATGCCTTTTATGTTATAGAATATTAAATGGAAGATTTTAAAGTGTTAAAGCAGCTTAGGAGAATGAATTTTAAAGTGTTATTCATAGGCATGACTTCATTCAGTATTTGTGCTGTGTTCTTCATAACCCTTCCCATCCTTGCTGACTATGAAGGATGCTTATGCTGAGGGGTTATCTGTAAGGGGCATCTAAGTAGGAGGCAAAGAAGCTGGATCCTCATCCCACTTCTCTCTGCTTTACAGCTGTATGACCTGAGGCAAGGAATTCTTAGGTCTTTTTCATATTAAAGTTCTTACTCTAAGTGGGAAACCAGAATGTTCATCCTGTGATGGCACAACCATTTCCACAAAAGTATACTGCAATTTTAACCTCCTCATGTCTTTGCTGGGCATCAGCAGATAGAGAAACCAGAGACTGTCTTGAAGCCCAGAGAAGGGATGCAAGACAGGATGGAGAAGTCAGTGGAGTGGGACCACAGTGGCCCTTTCTCTTCTCTTTGGTGTCCCTCCGAGCGCCTTGGGGCTCTCACAGAAGTTTCACTCCAGCTGCCTTCTGCCCTGGCCAACCAGTCTTTCTAATAAAGATTAATCTTACCAGCTCATTTTCTGTCCCCATGACATAAACTAATTTTATTTTAGCCTATGTGATTTCTTCTTTCGCCAGATTCACTTCATGATAAAACTGGTGCTTTTTAAATCATTTCATAAGCTTAAATTTTGCCTTTTATGGTATATCATACTTGTTTTAATAACAAACGTCACATTTAATACATTTTAAAATTCATGCTATGTATCAAAAAGTAGCTTAGATTTAATCACAGTTAGTAGCTGAAACCTGACAAATTATTTGTAATAAAGCTTTTTCAGAACTATTCATTTACATAGTTAATTTTGCGTGATATGCTCCAAAGAAAAGCTTTTCTTTGCCTTTTTCCACTAAAGCAAATATTAAATACTTAAATTAGAAGGAAAGTTAAAACAATAAAGTCAGTATTTCCTAATTTATAATGTCTTCAAACACGTCAGTATTTACTGCATAACGAAAGCTTTTGCTAGTCTGTACCGAATACAATACATTAAATTGCAAGAAAGCATGGGGTAGTGATTGCACTACAGTGATTATAACCCTGAGCTAAAACTAACTGCATACAACCTTCATAAGTATGGAAATTATTTCTCTGTTGAACACCTCCATCCAAAACAAAAAGCAAAAGACACTTAAGCATCTTTAGCTTGAAGTCATAGAAGGTCCTAACACATTGTAGACAAAAAATATTACTTCACCTCAAGTTCAGGAGTAGGAAAAGCTACATACATCTGTGTGTATTCAACTTCTACTTTCCCTAGTCATTAAAAAAATATATGTAGATATATATATACGTACATAAAATAAATACATAAAAATAATTGCAAATAATTTCTATTGATCCATGTATCTTTAAAATTAAATTCAGACCACTCCTATATTATGGTATAAAAATACTCTCATTACTAAAACACTCAAATGTTTTTGTAATTTTGTTCCACTTGGATTAGAAAAATATTATAAAGAAAAATGCTTTATAAATTATTAAAATTAGTTTCTCACAAATATTATTTAATCCGCCACTATAAAGCTTGGTAAAATAAAATTATACTTTAAATACTATTCAAAAAAGCTTGGTTTCGTTTTTAAGGCTTTGCAGTGCTTCATTTTTTTAAAAAAATGCTGTATGTATTGCCTCACTGCTCATATCACAGATTGTTTGCTATAACCCAACACCTTAGCCCCATTATCGTAGAATATAAATTCCTCCGATACTGACAGTGTACTTATATCCCCAAGTCATGGGATTTGGTGTGTTTGTGAGTATGACTCACTATGGTTAACCTCATTTATCTCCTTGGCTGTCTGCTTTGATTAATTGCATTCAGGTACTCACGAAGATCTCTAAGTGGTACGTTATTATACTGGCTGTCATAATTTCACACAGATGGATCTTCCTGATGAAGAACCTGATCGATTAAGCAACAAGCTGCTGAAGTATGACCCCAGCCAAGATCAATGGACAGAGCAGGCACCCATGAAGTACTCAAAGTACCGATTCAGCACAGCTGTGGTCAACAGTGAGATTTATGTTCTGGGTAAGAAGAAGCTAAAAGAGTGTAACTCCTTTTATTTTTCTCAGCAGTTTGCCTCAGTGAAAATGAAATATTCTCCCTTCCTCTTGCATTTCAGTTCAACTATATACACAACTAGCCCCCAATTCTCTTTTGTTTCTTAATTTCTAGAGCACAGTCAGATAAGATTAAATGAAAGTCCATTGACTTGTTGAAAGCAAAGTTATTTTTATCAAATTTTTAAGTCCCTTGGAATGCAAGAACAGTAGTGATACATCCTTCTATACCCACCAAGTAAAATATGGTGAAAAGGCAGTAAGCCTTTGGCTGCCTTCAGCCAATGAAACGTGGGCTTTTGCAACCAACTGATTCTCTGTACTAACAGAAGAGAAAGGCAGCAGACGTAAGACGATGCCACAGACACCAGTCCTCTTTGTGTTGCCTCACCCACCAAACTTCTACAGAGGTTATTAAGTAATTTTTTACCCGAATGCATTTTTTTCTTTTCTCTGGCATGAATATGTGTGGTCCTGCACCCCCCACTAGGGACTGGTGAAAGACTGGTTTGTTCCCACTAATGTGGGTTAAAGTGACTCTGAACATCCTCTGTGTCTCCGCACCCTTCCCACTCCTTCTATTAAGTCCTTTGCTCGTCTAATCCCCGTCCCGCTCCCTAACGTCACCCTCTGTCACCTCACTTCCCACCCCTCCATCACCTTCCCATGAGTATGGGAAGAAAGAGGCTGAGACAGGAGGCTGAGTGGACTGGTAAAATGATGGCGATGTCAATTCTTTATTTCGTCCCATCTGCATTGATGCCTAACTGGCAAAAACAACACGGGAAAGATGCTGGGTAACAAAAAGATGGCCAAAAAAAGAAATATGGGCTGAAAGCAAACCAAGCACTTGAGCAGCATTTTTTTTTTTTAAACTAAAGGGAAGCCGTTATCTCTTGGCTGCCTGCACAGCGTGAAGCAAAGTAATTAACGCACTCAAACATTAATAGTTCTATGATTTTAAGAACATTATGCAACGTAATTTATGACTGCCTCAGTTATGAGGCTCACTTGTGATTATAAGTGAGTTTTTCCTCTGGGTATATATTCGTTACTTTCATTATAACCTTACGCAGTGTCATAGGCCCAGTAGAGATAACATCTAAACTAGGATCGATTACGTGGGATGGAGGTATAACTCAGGAGTGAAGGGCTGATCCACTTATTATATTAAAGTTGGAGGCAGTCAAAAGTGGGAAAAATGATGTGTCAATTGAAGCAAAATGAGATTTCCCCCACTGTGGAGCCACAACTAGGCTCAACGTGGAATACAACTGATAGTGTCATCTTTTTGTAAACTGCCTGGAAAGGACACCCAAGACACCCTTTGGAGCTCACGCTTCACAGCATGAACAAACGTCCACTGAGTGAATGGAAGGGAGTAGATTTTAAAGGACCTGTAAGATGTGGGTAAGAGAAATAGAGGAAAGAGTGTGCTCCAAGAAAGGAGGCGCTGGGGAAGGGTGGGGAGTACAGTAGAAAGAAAGGCAGAAGCAGAGGTTTGGAGGTGAGAAGGAGATGCTAGGAGTAGAGGATGCGAGAAGGATGAGTGAATGAGCCCACAAGAGCAGGGACGGGTGGGGCTGAGAGTTGGACACGTGCATGGGAGCAGCTTACAGCGGCTGGTGGATGAAGAATTAGGAGAACAAGAGGGAGCAGTGAGAAAGTGCACAGAAACATGATGAGAGAATGCCTGAGGAAGGTTGCCAAGGTCAGGATATAAGGAACGCGTCAAAGGTGAGAAGAAAATGTCAGTAGGGACATCAGTTAGAAAGTCTTTTGCAGCAGCATCAAATATAGTTTCTGGATATTCAGGGCTGGGGACCAGATTCACAGTCTCTCAAATAGTTTTACCATCTTGGCAGATTCAATCCAAAAGGTTCCAGTTTCCCAACGTTTGCTACTTAACTCCCAAGTATTTGTATAAGCTTTTAAATGGAATGAATTTCAGTTGTTTAGGTATTTTTGTGGTACACTTAGTTCAGATTTAATTGTTCATTGCAAATATAATTGGAATGTGGGCAAATATCATACAGAGCCCTAAAACCTTCTCGATGACTCACACAGGTACCATGCACTCATGTGTTAACTGTCTTAGCAAAAGCCCTGTCTGCTTTTGGGAATCTCTATGTGTCCCACTGTGATTGGAGTCACTGCCAACTAGTACAGCAATGAGCCCTCTCCCTAATACCTGTGCTGGATTTAATTCCTTATGATCTCCTAGATAGTCTACAGGCCACCCCAAAAGAGCAATCACGGAAATCTCCTTCACCATGGAGGGAGCAGGACCAAGGGGGGAGGGCACCAGACCCTGACTCCATCATTTACTACCTGGTATGGCCCTAGTCTAGTAAATCTTTTTTTTTTGGGGGGGGGGGGGTAATATCAAAATTTGACTGCCTGCCTCTTAGAGATATGATTAAATAAAATAATGTATGTAAAATCCCTACAATACAAGTATTCAGATGTTATAACTAAAGTTCTTTGAGCCCTTCGTGTTACAGACACTTCGCTTAATTCTTTACATCAAAAATTTCATTTAATGGTCATAAAAAACTGAAAGTATTAACTCTCTCTGTATGGCCGACTAGATATCTAGACTGATCCTCCCACTGAAAATACCAAAAAAAGTTAGGTGAAACATGTTTAAAACCCCCTGAACTAAGAACTGTTATGGCAGTAAACACTCAGTGGGCCAGAATCTAAGTGAAAGCAGGAGACTTCTAGCAATGGAGAAGTGAGAAGGGAGACATCCCCTCCCCCAAAAGCAACTATAAAGACAGATAAATTTGTCAAAAACAACAATTTCAGATCTCTGGAAATCAACCAAAGATAAACAACAATTTGAGAAGAGCTTAATTTCTCGAAACTGCTGAACTTGAAGTCAGTCTTCAGGCAGCCTGTGACATCCTGGCCTGAGACTGCCCAGACTTGCAGCCCAGAGCATTCAGCGTGGTAGTTCTACTGGAGTGGGACTAGCTGTGAATCCTAGCAGCTTTGTTTGCCAAAGGGGTCTGATATGTTTGGGAGCAGAGGGTGGAAAACCCACACTCAGAGTGGCAAATGGAAAAAGCCTGCAGCTCTCCTAAGCTTGAGCTTTTAGTCCTGGTTGGGACAGCAGCAGATAGGAAAACTAGCTGGAAATGTAACAGAGATCTTCTAGGGAAATCCTAGAATAAGAGCAGATTTGAGAAGTCTGAAGAAAGAATCTGTGAATTTGAAATAGATCAATAGAAATTATATAATCTGAAGAAAAGAGGGGGAAAAACTTGAAGAAAAATTAGCAGAGCCTCAGAGACATATGGAATAACATGAAAGCTACCAATATAGGTATAATGGGCATCCTGAAAGGAGAGAGGGAAAGGGGCAGGAAATCTCTTTTCAACTGAATATTTGTCAAAAACTTCTCAAACTTGATGAAGAAACATTAATCTACAGTTCCAAGAAGCTCATCAAATCCCAAGTAAGATAACGTCACAGAGATCCTCACCATAACACATCATAGACAAAATACTGAAAGACAGAAAATCCTTTTTTTTTAATTAATTAATGAATTTATGTTTGTCTGCATTGGGTCTTTGTTGCTGCGCAC